GGATTTAGTATGAGAATAATGTTGATAACACACAGACATTTGAGTTGCTGCTAAGCAGCGCTTACTCTAAGTCAAGGACTTTTTAGTGTCTTATGCTCTGCCAGTGAGCAGGTGCACAAGAGTTGGGAGGCAGCATGGCCAGGAGAGCCGACCAAAGGGATATTCCATACCATAAAACACTATGCTCAGTATAAAAACTGGGAGAGTTGGCTGAGAGGGGCCGTTCACTGCTCAAGGATGGGCATCAGTCAGTGAGTGGTAAACAACTGTATTGTGCATCACTTGTTGTTCTTGTGTTTTGTTCCTCTCTCTCTTTTTCTTTTTCATTAGTATGATTGTTGTTGTTGTTATTAAATATTTGACTTTATTTCAATTATTAAACTGTTCTAATCTCAACTCACAGGTTTTGCCTATATCAGTTCTCTTCCCCATCCCATGTGGGAGGGCAGAGTAAGCAAGAGGCTGCATAGTTCTTAGTTGCTGTCTGGGGCTAAACCAGGACAAGTGGTTATATAATGGTGAAATTTACACAGTCTGACTGTATAAACTTTTTGCATCTTTTCAATACTCCTAATACAATTCAACTGTTTCTTCCCAGTAATCTGTTGAGCAAGTATTACTATTTTCAGTTGTGTAGTAGTAAATTAACACTCAAATTTTTATATTTAAGATATAAGTAATCACTAAGAAAAATAAAAATAATCATATCTGTTTAGTTGCTCTCCCAAGTAAAGAAGATAATTTCTTTGGTAAAGCATAAATATCTTAAACAGATGTGCACAAAGACAGTAGATGAACCATGAAGAAAAAACCACTTCTGCTGTTAGTCAAATAATCTCGTAAAGTTATTTCAACAGTTTAGTTTTGTTAATGCAGCCATCTTACGTATTGGTTTTTGGTTTTTTGATTCCCATTTATGTCCTGTTGCAAAACTTCTAGAAGCACTGTAGAATATTTTTAGTAGGCGCTCTATTTACATAGTGTCCTACATCTGACCATTCCCCCATGAATAAGACAAATGGCAGCCACTGGTCTTAATTCAGGAAAAATTAATTTGATTCTACCTATTTTAAACCCATGTACAAATGTATCTGATATTGTTACCTTATATTGTTATTATACTCATGATCCATATAGGGATCTGAGGCTAAAAAAACCAAAAATATCTTAAAGACAGACAGTTGGATCATCTTACCGGTAGACTGAAAATACTGTGCTGTATTCAAAATGTGGAATTTGTGATACTGAAGATATCATATGATCTAAAAAAAAGACACATTTGAAAACTTATAAAACTTATTTCCTTACATATACCAACATTGAGCATATTCAATTAGTATGTAAAAATAAATCTGGAATTTATCTTTTGCATTTTATTAGTGATAAAGTAATTCAGTTTAAAGATGTGAAAAGTACGAGTAGAAGTGAGTAATGCTGACAGACTGTAGGATTCTTGAAGCTAACCCTCGTACAGTCTCAGGCACATTGTTTTCTGGTAGTGTTCCTTAGAATTAACTTGCCTTGGAAGTATGCCTTGCATTGTCTTGGAAGGAAATACCTGAATTTGCCCAAATAGCTAAGTAATGAGTTAACAGCTGAGCGAGTGTCCAGTTTAAAAGACCACTGTCCCTCTTTGTCAGCGTAGATGCACCCAGAAGCTTCATTTTTTGTATTCTATTTATTTATCTACTTGAAATTTATATATATATACGTATATATATAAGCATAAAAGTATATACATAATAAGTAAAAAGAGCTGTTTTTTCTTTTTGAAATTCAATTGAGAACAATCATTTGACAAGTGAATGAATTAAGACACAACCCCTCCAAGTAGAGCCTCACTTTTTGAAAAAAAACAAAGACATTAAGAATGTTCCCTTACAGGCTGGATCCTCACTATGCCAACAAGTAAAATAGAGCAATGACTTTGAGGTGACATGGAAGTGATGATTAGGAAAAACCAAATGCTCATACTTAGCTATCTAGAATAATTTTAGGTGCTGTGCGTCTTGCCTCCACTAGCTACTAATGAAAAAAAACCTTCTGGATTTGTGACAGCCCTCTGTTGTAACTGCTGGATCACATCTCAGCCTGAGTTGCCTCAAGCAACACACAACAAATATATTTAAAAATTTAAATCCTGCTTGAACTACCCTATGGGATAGGATTCAGATCTTACATCTCAACTTTCGTGTTTAAATGTTAGGAAGAAGATATCTGAATGTTAAAGACACTTCCCTGTCTGACCGTGCAGGAGTCACCTGCTCTGGGAGACACTCGCACCACCTGCTGTCAGACTGAGGCCCCTTCTCAGCTACACCCCCTACACTTACATAGTAAGACCAGGTTTCGTCACTGGCTCAACCCCCAGTTTCCCATGGCAGAGTCTCAGACATCTTGATCTTTAAATAATTTAATCTTGGTGCATTACCGAAATAAAAAAATAACGCCTCGAGCTGGTTCCTCAGAGGAGTGGCCACAAACAAAGGAAACTCTGGGCTTTTATACCCCCACAGACTCAGCACATGAAAGTCAGGGCTCAAAGGCTCCTGCCATGTCCCTGGGTGTCCAGTCACCTGGCTGCTCCACAGGTCTCTGTGCCATTTTCTGTGCAAAGGGTGGGCAGGTCATAGTCTCTTGCCTTGGGCTTCTGCCCCCCCAGAGCTCAATCTGCAGTTGGCAATGCAGCTGCACACCGAGCTACCTGCACTAAATGTATTCCTCCACAAAAATGTGCACTAATTTAGTAGAAATCCAGAGATGGATTTACTTACACAAAACCAAACAATCCTAAAATGCCCTAAGTCACTTAATGTATCTGCCCAAGATGAGAGAAAATGGCATATAACTTACAGGACATCTGTGTCATTTATGGATCTGGAGGCGAGAATATCTCACAGGCTCTAAAATGACACTAGATGCCTACATTTGGGCAAGTGGATGAAGACTTAGTCAGTGATTATATCTATTGACAGTTGTGGAATTTCAGACACCCACCACACATGCAAGAAACTAAATTTAGGTAAATTAATTTGGAGCTTGGTCCCATCTCTAGGGAAACCATAACCAATATCTGCTGTGATATTGTCACACAGGACTTTAGTGCTTGTTTTATCCTTGTAAAGTCATGCTAGCTAGCACTCTGGAGGAATTGGAGAAAACTGTATTTCACTAAATACAGCATTCAAGAAGCATTTGGATGATACTTTCAGGCACATTATGTGACTCTTGGGGATGGTCCTGTGGAGGCCTAAGAGCTGGACTCCATTATCCTTGTGGATCCCTTCCACCTCAGTGTATTCTGTGATTCTGTAAATATGCAGAAGAGAGAGAGAAGATACATAAACCGATTAAAGCTTCTCTCAGCTTTTGTCTCCTAGCTGTGAAACAGTGCAAAGGGAGTGTTTCAATCCACCAGATGTCTTAAGCAGGGATAGAATCACAGAATCATTAAGTTGGAAAAAACTTCGAATATCGTCAAGTCCAACCTTTGACAGAACATGACCATATCAACTAAACCATAGCACTAGGTGCCATGTTCAGTAGTTTCTTGAACACTTCCTGGGATGGTGACTCCAGCATCGACCTGGGCACCCCATTCCAATGCTTGACCACCCTTTCAGTGAGAAAGTTCTTCTTGATGTCCAACCAGAACCTCCCCTGGTGCAGCTGTTGTCCCGTTGCTAGTTTCCTGGGAGAGAAGGCCCACCCCCACCTTGCTACAACCTCTTTTCAGGGAATTGTAGAGAGCAATAAGGTCTCCCCTGAGCCTGCTCTTTTCCAGACTAACCAATCCAGGTTCCCTCAGCTGCTGCTCATAAGTCTTGTGCTTGAGACCCTTCCCCAGCATTATTGCCCTTCTCTGGAAATGTTCCTGCACCTCAATGCTTTTCCTGCAGTGAGTAGCCCAATACAGAACACAGGATCTGAGATGCAACCTCACCAATGCCGAGTACAGGGGGACAATCACTGCTCTGGTCCTGCTGGTGACAGTATTTCTGATACAAGCCAGGATGGCACTGGCCTTCTGAGCCACCTGGTCACACTGCTGGCTCATGTTCAGCCAGGTGTCAACCAGGACCCCCAGGTCCTTTTCCACTGGGCAGCTTTTCAGGCACTCTCCCCTGAGCCTGTAACTTTGCCTGGGGTGGTTGTGACCAAAGTGCAGGACCTAACACTTTACCTAATTGAACCTCATACTGCTGGCGTTGTCCCACTGATGCAACCAGTCCAGATCCAAATGCAGAGCTTTCCTACCCTTCAGCAGATCAACACTCTTACCCAACCTGGTGTCATCTCTGAACTTACCGAGGATGCAATCAATCCCCTCATCCAGATCATCAAAAAAGATATTAAACAGAACTGGCCCCAGTACTGAGCCCTGGGGAATCCCACTGGTGACCGGCTGTCAACTGGATGTAGCATCATTCAACAGCACTCTCTGGTCCAGTTATTAACCCAGTGAGGAGGGCACCTGTCCAAACCACGGGCTGCCAGCTTCTCTTAAGAGTGTGTGGAACTTTACTAGGTCCTGATTGTGGGCTGGTTATACTCTGTGAATCCCACACTGATGTCCCCCTACCTGAAGTATCTAAAAAAGGACAGCTATAGTGGCTATTGTGATCTCTTCTTAACCAGTCATCAGGTTTATTTTTTTCAGAAGAGCATGAATAAGAAACCAGACCTTTGCCCAAGGTGAAGTTAGGACACAGATGAGCACCTAGGGAAGAGGAGGTCACATCCTTTACCTTGCAGTATAGACATAACCAGCATGAAGCAGATTTGGCATTTAAATAGATAATGCTTATGTTTTTGGTGGTTTTGCCATCCTTCCACCTAATTTATCAAAAAAGATTGTAAAACTGTGGGGCTTCTACTGTTTAAAAAACATATAATATTAAGTTTTTGAATCCAGGATTTAGAAACTTTTCACATGGTAATTATGTAGCTGTGATGGGTGAAAGGAGAGCAAGCAAAGAAGACAGAGTGAAATACAGAGATTAAAAGAGATGATTAAGACATTTTTTACTTCAAGCTTGATTCAATAGCCCTGGGGAATCTCATACTTCTTTAATGAGTTCTGCTGCTTAGCCATCTTACTCCTGCCTAATGAGAAACATAGGTCCAGAGAGATCAGTTCAAAGTTAAGTGCATCAAAGACAGGTTGCATTTAAAACCATTTTCCCCTCAGCTTCCCTAGTCTCTGTCCATGGCCTTTTTTTCTTCTGTCATTTAGTATTCCTGAGCATGAACCATGGGAAAGGCTTGAAATGAACAGTTACATTATGCAAGGAACTATTTCTTGGCCAACTTTTTCAAACAAATATGGTTCCCTGCTCTTAATGTCTCTGTCCACATTTAGGATCTCTCATTCATTAGTTTTTGCTTTCTGCTCTACTACATGTTTGTTTCCTTGCAGTGACAGCTGGCAACTTTTATTTCTGGTAGCCAAGAAGCACAAGAATCTATGTGGTATAGGTCTTCCAAACCTGTAAGAGATCCACCTGCAGCCTGTGGAGGACCCCATGCTGAAAAAGGTGGATGACTGGAAGATGTTTGTGAACCTGTGGGAAGCCCATGCTGCAGCAGGCTTCTGGCAGGACCTGCAGACCCATGAAGAGAGGAGCCCACACTGGACAGCTTTGCTGGCAGGACTTGTGACCCATGAGGGACCCTGAAGGACTGCATCCTATGGAAAGGAACCCACGTTGGAGCAGTTCATCAAGAACTGCAGCCCATGGGAAGGACGCATGGAGAAGTTCATGGAGGACTGTCTCCTGTGGGAGACACTGAAGCACTCCTCTCCCTGAGAAGGAAGCAGCGTCGGAAACAACATGCGTGGACTGACCATAACCCCTACTCCCTGTCTTCCTGCACTATTGCAGGGGGAGGGAGGTAGAGAATCGGGAATCAAATTAAGACAGGAAGGGAGGGAGGGGTGGGGAGAAGGTGGTCCTTATTTCAACCCACTAGCCTTTCCTTATATTTTCTCTCACCTGTCCAGTCGAGAAGGGAGTGATAGAGTGGCTTTGGTGGCACCTGGCCTTCAACTGGGGTCAAACCAGCACAGCAAGAAAGTGGATGAAATCTCTCTAAAACCTGAGGGAGCCTCTGGATCACAGTTCCTCATTTGTATGGGAGATTTTAACCACCTGCCAGATATTGGAAAGGAAAATGTGGTGAAATACAGACTTCCAAGATCTTTGTGCCATAACTTTTTCATTCAGACACTGGATGGGACAGCAAGAGTGACATACAGCTGAATCTCCTCTTCACTAACAAAGCAAAACTGATTTGTGACGTAATAATCAGTGGAAGCCTTAGATGTTGTGACTTGTGAAATAGTGGAGAGATTGGGCTTGTTTAGCCCAAGAGAGAACTGCAGGGGGATGTAACAACAGCCCACAGTGCCTCTGAGGAGGTCATAAAAGGGACAGTCAGGCACACAGACAGACAGACAGACAGATAGCCAGTGATGTGTGTCACAGGTGGGAGTGGAAGGCTTAGACAAAGTTATTAAAGAAGCCCTGCTGTTGAGTCACGAAGTGCAGAAGGGATCTCCTTGCTTTCTAAACTCCTTCTCAGAGAGGAGCCAAGGTGCGGCTGGATCCAGTCTTAGCCTCAGATTTTGTCAATGGCTTAAATTTAAGGAATTATAGAATTGTGATTGAACCACTTTTGTCCTGCAGGTTTTAATGATGACAAATCAGATATAAGTTATACAAAATGAATTATTTATTATTACAAATGATCAGACAAAACAACTTAATCCAAATTATTTACTACACAATATAAACACTAAAATTTCTGGTACTATAGTATAAGATAGGATAGTGCACTATCTTAAAGCAATTATTGAAGCAGTTATATTAAAGCTAGCAAAAAGAAATAGTTATTAATTAGCGATGAATGTAACTCACCCATACCAATGCTTGTGGGGAGATCTCTTTTCTTGACACCCAAAGGAGTACCCTTGGGGAGCATCCCCAGACCAAGGGAGGAATCTCCACACACACTCCCCAAGAAGGGTTGTGTTAGAAGAACCTTACTGTATGAGAGTGGACTGGCCTTTCATAGTATAAAATGATTGACTACTAGTCAAACATTTCCAGGCCAGCTAGAAGCTTATCTGTCAAATCCTACTTCAAAAAACAGGATATGTGTTTGAAGTTTGGTGAACCAGGATGGTTTTATCATAATTCAACACCAAAACAGCACCCTAGTGCCACCAGTAGCTCACCACAGGTAGCTTGCATTGTAGATTGAAGAAAATTGTTTGCTACTCAGTATCTTATTACGAAATTACTTTTATCAATTTTCTTTATGCGCCTTTTATAATATGTAACATATAAAAGTATTTCTTTCCCTTGAAAGATGAAAGTTTACTTCTAGAAAGTTAACTTGTTGAGTTCTACTTCAAAATGTAATTCCAGTCATCAGTACAAATAATATTAAATATAATTAAATAAGATTTTTGTAAATTTACTGAAATCTCATAGATTTTTCCAGTGGAATTCACTTTGCCATGTTTAGATCTTGACATTACACTGCTACTGAAAAGATGAGAAGATTATTGCATGATTTCCTCCACTCACCAGAATTTCAGAGGAGCTTTAGACATCTAAACTAAGGTAAAATGAACCACATTTTTACTGTTTGGCAAACAAGCAGTCTGACTGAAACTGTCGTCTCAAACCATCATTCAATATGTTCTGTTATTGAACTTATATCTATTCCTAACATGCTCATACAATATTTACATGTATAAATTAATACTGTAATTTAATATAGACAATATGTAACCTATACTGAAATACATATTGACATTTAATGCATCACTATTTATAAAGAATATTAAATTTGTTTATTAACCTCATAAATTAACTCTTATTGGAAATCTAACTCAAAAGATATAAACCAGCAGTGACCAAATCTGATAAAATATTCAGTGAATCAGGATATTTGAGAGGAAAAAACAGTCACTTTTACTACTTTTTCTGTCACAATTATTGCACCAATTCAAATCTAGTATACCTTCCAGTTGAAGTCTAGTACGTCTTTTATATTAAAAGGCATCAAGTTGAGAGCACAATTTTATACCTTTGGTACCTTTTAAAATTTAGTTTTTAGGTAAAGGTTAATTTTTATTTTATATATATTGTATACCTATGTGTATTTATACACAGACACACTTATATTGTATATATAAATATAAGCAGAAAATGGAATGCTGATATATATCCCATTATGGCTTTTGTACACAATCAGTTGGTCCCCAGTATGCACACCTGGATCTAGGAATGCTAAAGCAGTCCTATGCCTGCAGATATAGATGTAGTCTTACTCCACTATCTTACAGGAATTCATTATTTTTCGGTTAGAAAACTTGTATTGCACATAGACAAAATCTGTACCACTAGCCCAAGCTAGACAAATCTTTATGGGATTTACTTGATTCTAATTTTTAGATAGAACTGAATGAATTGATTTGGAAGTTAATTAACTAACCAGGTAGCTATGCCTGACTATATTTAGTCTGTTTGGAGGTCCGTTATTTCCAGGAAACTCTTTAAGATGATACCAAAAGGTTATGCAAAGTATCTATTCAAAGTAGTCTCTGAAGACAAATGATAACACTTTTCTGCTTAACTGTGCAAAACTTAACAGTTTTCCAGGGGCTTCTGAAGCATATTAATATCCGAGCCTCAATAAGCTGCCATATCACACTCTTCCATATGGCAAATGGTGTTTCAGCAGTTGTTTGCACAGTATGTGCCAAACCAAAAAATTAATGTCTACAGATTTTATGTGTGTGAAAATGGGAAAGCATGGTGCACAGTCATAGCTACTAGTAGGTTCACAGCATTTATTTTGTTTGCTCCATCATGTACTGTGAGAAAGTAGAGACCTGAAGGAGTTTGAGCTGATCTGTAGGATCACCTGCTGCTGCAGCATCTACAGTGTGCAATCAGAAGGATACAGTAGGTTATATGAGACCAATATGTGTAGACCGTTATCATAAATATGGTGGCACATGCCTACCATAATAACCTTTGTCATTAGATTAGAGAAAGACTAAATATACAACATATTTCACATTTAGACAGAGTGAATAGTACTTTACAAATATTACATTTAAATCTATTCCAGATTAAAAACAGGTGACATTCTAAAGTGCCTATTTGTTTTCTTTCTAAAGAAAAAAAATTAAAAAAAAAAATCCCTCTTCCTTTTCTCCCAGTACATTAAGGGATGGTTGCCAATATTGGTGTATATTCTGACAGACATATAAGCTTGAGTGGCATCTTGCAGTCCCACGTGTCTGGGTATTTCCAAATGTGTATAAAGGTTTTTGGAGACAGTTGTAGCACATCTTTTCTGTGATTACAATACAAAAAGGTGTGCTTCAAGATCCACCTAAGTTGAGCCAGTAACAAATAAGGTGAACAACATTGTTGGGTGCTAAAATTTATATATTTAATCTACCTGACACCCTGTATTGATTAAAGTCTCCTAAATTGTGTTTTAGAATATTCAACATTTCACTAAATTGGTATTCCAAGTATCTAGCATGCTGACTGGAAAGTTAATTCTGGTTATATATTGGGGAATCAGTATGAACTGATATATCCTAAGTCCTCCTCCTTTATGGAGCTTAGAAATCTTACATTGATGAATGTCTTGTTGTCCATCTTGACTAACAAATAATCCATGCTACATGTTTAAGCAGTTTTAAGACTTTCCTTTCTAGGCAAGTATATTCAATAATGGGCTATAAGATTACTCTCATCTGTGTTCTCCACATCTTTATTTACCACATAATTCAACTTTCATTCGTTTTTGAAAGCTGAAATTTTTTTGGAAGTATTTATGGAGTGCTTCATCTCTGATGTCGAAGTATTCATAGAAAATATTCTAAAACAGAAATTAGTAACTAAATTTATGTTGCTTCGAAGCTGTGTAACTATAATACTCATAAAAATTCTGAATAAAAGCAAGAAGCACTCTACATTTTTTTAAAGAAAGTGGCAATTATCACTTCATACTGCATATAACTGAATTGGTTATTCATTCACAGGGTATGCCCAGTGGGTTGAAATCCATGAGCTTCTTGGTGGATTACTGCCCAGTTTCTGGACATGTACTCTGTTTAGTCAGTATAGAAGTATTGAATTCTTCTGCCTATCAAGGTAAAACATTTATAAGCATGCATGGAAAAAGAAAATTTGTTGCCTGAGAAATTTCAAAATGAAAACCTGAGTCTTCCATGGAAGTCAGTCTCCCACAGTAACAGCTGCAAATTTTTTCAGGATCACAGACTTGATCTCAGGTATTTAGATTGGATAATCTTTCATATCTGCCAAGATCTTAATGTAGGAAGCTAAACTTTCTGTCATCCCATTGATATTTCGTCCTCTTCTTCAACACCCAGATGATATTATTCTGTGCAAATGCTCCTTGTCCAGCACAATCAGGACTTTTTTGCGGGTTGCTTTGTGTTTGTGATTTTTTGTTTGGCTTGTTAGTTTTTTGGCCTTTTTTTTAATTCTTCTTATTATCCTACTAATTCTGGCTTTAGGTATTTTTAATTATATCCAGAAACATGGTAGAAATATATAAACACTGATAAGAAGCTGAAGCCTGATTAAACCTAATTGGACTTTTAATATTCCTGCTGTTATAAACCTGTGTACTGCTAAGCAAACTACAGGGATGAAAGACATGGTAGCATGGTCAGCTTTGAATTGTTATGCGGTTTATGCCAATCTAAGAGTGATAAGTTAAGCCTTAGTAAACACACTTATTTGATAAGATAATTACCTCAGCTGCTAATACACTGAACATTTAATAAATTTTTGTTTTCAGAAAAGATCTCAGTATGTGTAGGATCTTGCAGCTTCCTCTGCTCTCAGCTCTGTGATGGTTGATCTTGGCTGGATTCCAGGTGCCCACAAAAGCAGCTCTATCACTCCCCTCTTCACCTGCAAAGAAGAGAGAAAATATAATCAAAGGTTGGTGTGTCGAGATAAGAACAGGAAGAGATCACTCAACAATTAATGACACAGGCAAAATAGACTCGACTCAATTTGGGGAAATTAACTAAATTTATCATCAATCAAATCACAGTGTAGTCAGGAGAAATAAACCTATGTCTTAAAGCACCTTCCCCTAACCCATGTCCTTCTTCCTGGGTTTAACTTTACTCCCTAATTCTCTACCTCCTCTCCCCCAGTGACACAGAG